AAAAAACAACAATCAAATTAGCAGTATCCATTAAAGTTAAGATCTTGTTCTCATGTACTGTTTGAGATCACTGTATTAATAATTGATCAATTTGTAATAAATAACTATATATCAATTTAACTATACAAATTGAGATTTCGAAGTATTTCTAATAGTGTTACTAACAAAAACTAATGTGTACACAGTGTTTTGGAAAACTATTATAGTAATTTACGACATATTGGGTTCTAATGTTGAACTTTCAACACGTAACACTAGCCCGGCATACTGTCAGTTAAGAACGTTATAATATCCAAAGTTATCAAAAAGGTTAGTTCGTTTCATATATATATATATATTGCCTGATAATTCCAAAGCTATATAAAACTGGATTCTGAGAAAGTGTGTATAATGGTTTTAAACACGTGGATATAAGACCCACTGTTGTTGTTTTGTTGAAATAATACTATAGGGTAATTTTAAATACGGATAAAACTGCGTTATATTTATAGTAGCGGGGATACAGCAATAGACTTATAACACTTCTGCCAACTTCCAAACGGAACAAAAAAGGATCACGTTCGAAATGCTTGATGCCTAAGTGACCCTATCAAATAATGATAATACAAATACACTGATTTATGGATAAGTTTGATTATTATTAGCTCTCTGTACACTGGTAAATAAATGTACTAACCTGTCTTTTGCTTCCGCTGCCCTATCCCTCTGTCGGCGGTTTTTGAACCAGTTACTGACCTGCGTGGTTGTAAGTCCTGTAGCTTCGGCAAGCTCCCGTTTTTCTCGAGGGGAGGGATAGGGATTGTGCGCGTACCACTCTCGAAGTACGTTTCGGGACTTCTCCTTAAAGCAATAACTGGTTTCCTCTCCGTCCCAGATGGTTCGGGGAAGGGGGAATTTCCTACGGATGCGATATTTCCCGACTGCTCCCAGTGGCCGGCCGCGGATCCGCTCAGCTTCGATGTAATGCGCCTTAAGCCAAAGAGCTTGTAACTTGGGGTGGGAAGCTGGCGTAAAGTTGTGGCTTTCTAAAATACGGTACAACTCCTTGAAGTTATTTCGATGAAAGGCCACAAGAGCTCTTGCTTTCAATACACTCTCGTTCTTTTGGAGATGTTCACAAGCAGGGAGTGACCAAAGAAAACGACCCAAACGGTCTATGTTCCCCGATTGCTGCAGGACTTCGCAGACGCAAGCAACCTGTTCCTGCGTGAAACCAAACGACGGTATAACAGGAGACGCCGGACTGGCATTAGGGCAGCTCGCATGGGGCGAAACTCCACTGCCGTTTAGGGAGAGGGCAGCAGGCTGCAATGGAGATATCCCGTCGTTCATAAGGCCCAGAAGCATCGATTAACTACACACACACACTAACACATGGCCACACTCATTTCAACTGATCAACGTAGATAGATAATAAGATTTGGCATTGAAATAGTCCTTACAGACGACGAGGCTTAAGAATTAGACTTATTAACTGTCTTGTTCTTTCTTTCAGCTTGCTTGGATCGTCGTTATCCAGAGGCTAGATTGTTACACAAATTTCTCAATCCCGCACGTACTATCTGACTCGCTAAGGATGATCAACCCCCACACACGTAGAAAGCACAGAAGTACAAGGTAGGTTATGATAATTCAAAGTAGGCCGATTATACTCACTACCTCGGAGGACTGGAGCTCGCATTCAAGCTCTGTTGAATCCCAACCAATCACCAACGATTATATTCTCAAACATGTCAGTCATTTCCGATTTCTCCCGCCTTAATGATGACATCAGAGCAATAAACACGCCTTTTTTACACACAGATGCGGAACTCGTAGCAGGTTATCTATGTAATATTTTAACTCATTACGACATATATATATATATATATATGTACGCACACGTGAATATCTTATAATTTGTGGATTACACTTTATAAATTCTTCATCGACAATGAACGAGAGTGGGAAAATTTAAACGACAATTGTATTTACATATTGCATAAAATTCAAAATTGGTCAGGCTTTTGAGAACTTGGAGCTGTTTTTCTTTACTATTTTGTGATGTGTTGGAAGAGTATTTGCGGTATCATCACCGAATAGTTGAAATATACAAACACGTGTTCCGAAGACATGTTAAATTGCTTCTGTTTCAAGGTTGATATAGTTGCTTAAAACATTTGATTATTCATTGATAGTGTCCCGATTTAATTTAGCCTCTGTAAAGGGAATTTGACGTACGGTGATCTTTCATTAGTGTTACAGCTGTGCGTGCACCATGAAAGTAAAAAATTAGATTCTAAATAAATAACACAGGCCTGTGAATTTAAATTTTATAAAAGTTAGTTTGGTTTCAATAATGGATTTTCCATAATTCGGCTACGCAGATTTCGAAAATAATATTCATTTATTTCTATCACGTAAGGATTTTTTACAAATCGGGAAGAAAAAACTTTTACTTAGATCAAATTGTTATTTCGTTTACCACAATGAACATTTTTTATTATTATGTTTGTTAACAAAAATACAAACAAACTGAAGAAGAGGGGAAAACGTTGATGTCAAATATGCATCCTTATTCATCCTGATGTTTTGTTTGTGAAATCTACGTCTTCTAGTCTCAAAACTACTTGTTTTGGTCTTTTATGTATTGTATAAAACGTTTTGTGAAAAATCTGTACGCGATGGTTTGTTTGTTTGTTTTTGAATTTCGCGCAAAGCTACACGAGGGCTATCTGCGCTAGCCGTCCCTATTTTAGCAGTGTA